TTCGCAGCTTTGCTACTGGGGTTTATTTTTATTGTATGGTTTTTTTAATATGTTTCCCAGAACAGTTACAGAGTCTCTTTAGTAATAAAGGGAGCTTGGAACAGACACTAGTGTAGCGCTGAAACACAGAGAGGATTTCCATATGTTTCAAAATGCATTTCTACCTCACAATAAAAAAATTGGATATCCATCAAAATACATTAGGTAATTACCTAAAACTAATCATTGATTATACCATTTCATATTATATTTTGTTTCTACACTTGTCTAGAAATAGGCATCTTTGCCAGGTTCTGCTGTCTGCCAGCAGATTGATTTCAAGGTCCTCGCCCAAATCGCTTCATGTTGCAGCATTTGCTTATCTCTGTGATCTTCTCCTACCCTCTCTTCTGCTCTCCCTCTATCTAACTAACCAGGGCTGACTATACATCTCCTGCCCCTTCTGTACCACTATCAGTGACTAGACCTTCAGCCGCTATGCGCTGGATCTCTATTGCTTCGTCTTGCATTCTCTGTGCGTTCAAATCCTGCCTAAAACGTACTTCTGCAACCTTGCCTATGGCCCTTCCTCCTTTCTCCCTTGCTCAGCATCCAACTCCATCTTTGTTGAACCCCACACAGAGAAACAACAACAACAAAATTACACTTATAGAGCGCCTTTCACGTCGGGAGGACATCCCAAAGCGCTGAACAGTCAGGTGTCAGGGTTCGAGCAGGGGGAGGGCTGGTGTAGAGGTGAGAGAAGCCAGAGAGGTGGGAGAGAGACCAAGGGCACGGTCGAAGAGGAGGGTCTTGAGACCGGCCTTGAAGGAGGCAAGGGAGGAAGCGAGGGCGAAGGGACCATGGGATGGAGTTCCAGAGTGTGGAGGCAGAGAGGCTGAAAGCCCGGCCACCGATGGGAGGGTGGGTTGGGCGGGAGACATGAAGCAGCCTGGAGCCTGATGAACGGAGAGAGTGGGCAGGCTCGTAGGGAGTCAGCAGGTCAGAGAGGTAGGAGGGGGCAAGGCCATGGATGGCCTTAAAGGTGAGGACGAGGATCTTGAACTCGATCCTCTGGGGGATGGGGATCCAATGGAGTCGGGCGAGGGTGGAGTCCTATAGCTCAGTAGTTAGAGCACTCGCTTTGCAAGTGAGAGACCTGAGTTCAATTCCAGGCAGAGGGCGAAACGTTGGGTAAGTTTCCTTACTCCACACAGAGCCTAATAATAGTCCCTCCAAAACCCAAAACAATAATAAATTGGTCATTTTCAATCCATGACTGTTTGTGGGACATTGCTGTGCGCAATTGGCTGCCGCGTTCGCCCACAAATATACCGTCAATTCACTTTACAGTATATTCTGTGAAGCGCTTTGGGACGTCCTCCCGACGTGAAAAGCGCTATATCAAATGCAAGGATTATTATTATTATTATTGGGGTCACGGACCCTGAAAGGCGCTATATAAATGCATGTTTTATTTTTCTAATATCCCTTGAATATTCTTACTTGTCACTGTAGCTACCTTCCAAACATTCTAACAGATACTGTATCTGCATGTTTCCGTTTGTTTTCTGTGGCAATGTATTCCACATTCCCAAAGCCCTTTCTGTCAAAGCTTTCTCACTTCTCTAATTTTAAGGTCAAGTCCGTTTCTTATCTACCTCGCCAATTCCCTTCATTATTTTAAATCCGTCAATGAAGTGGCCCCTCAACCTCTTCAAGAATAGGGAATATAACTCAGATTCATTCTGCCTCTTAACTGCTAAATTAAGCTAAAGACCTTAATTTAACAGTTGTACTTTATCACTATTATTGTCAAACTTAATCTGTTTTAATGAGTTGGTTTACCACTTTCTTTCTCTTGATTCATCTATGAAAGCTTTTCATAGAAATGATACAGGACGCCAATGGATCCATTGTACGCGTTGCTATTTGTAAGTATTTTTCATATTCCCTCTTTTAACCTGCATATTTTATTGAGTCATCATTAATTGCTTTCTGTATTTCTCCCAATATCCAGTTCTTTCTGTTGTTGCTGTTGCTTTCATCCTTTTTCTTTTGTTTGAATCTGATGGTAATAGTGTTTGCAAACAATAGTTTCATTTACACTAGAAATGCAATCTTTATCTTTCAGTGGTATATGCTAGTTCTGGAAAGTACAAAATAGATTCTACTGCTCGTGAGTCAATTTACCAAATAATTCCACCTATATTGTTTTAATTAATTATTTCCACACCTTTCAAAGTTGGCCTTGCTACTTTGATGTTTAGAGCTTTGGTTTGAGATCCTAACCTTAGCCATTTTTGTCACTCAATCCTAATATTGATTTCAATTACATGATGGTCAATATTCAAGATACTGCCACCAGATCTGTTGGAAGCTTGTCTCACAGGGAGGGAGGACAAAATTAACCTCTTCGATTTCCCTTGTATATTTCCTAGCAAGTGACCTGTACGCCCACAAAATATACAAGTCAATTCACTTTACAGTATATTCTATGAAGTGCTTTGAGACGTCTCGAAGACGTGATCGGCTGTGTATCAAATGTAAGGGTTACTATTATTATAGAACTACATTCACTATGATCAGAAAACAATCTCTGACCTGTCGTGCATTGGCTGGGGGGTGAGGGGGTCAACAATAAGTGGGCAGAAAATTATGCAGAGCTAAATGAGTCCAAGCCATTGTTTTCCAAAGGGATTGTTTGCCTGCCTGAGCATACCATAATGCGTCTGCACAAAACCCTGAAAATCTTACGACTGCAGAATTCTTACATTCACTTTCTACAATCTCTAGGCTTTTAAAACCTGATCTTATCATTACTTAACATCTCCCTCTTACTCTCATCATCTATATGGTTGTTCTGCACTAGGAGCCTTGGTTAATCGTCTGCATTTCTTGATATTAAAAAAGCATAGAAATTTATTCAACAGCTGTTTTATAAGGTGGAAATGTAGGAAGATTTTTTCAGAGGGAAAATCCAATTTTGTCTCAAACACTTCGAATTTATGGAAGAACTGGTTTATAAAAAGGATACTAACACTGTAGTGGTAAATGTCGGTCAAGATGATCAGTGGGATGTCAGAATAATGGACCGATATATATGTTGGCTATTCATTACTATTCATTACTCCTGTTATTGATTTTAATGTTTGCTTTTCTGTAATTCTATAATTGTTTTTAAAAAATTATTTTTCTCTAATGTAAATGATTCCTATTTCTAGGATTAATGTTTCATTAATTTGCGGATTAATTCACCCACAGAATATACAACGACAACAACAAAATTACATTTGTATAGTTAGTGCCTTTCACATCAGGAGGACGTCCCAAGACGCTGGACAGACGGAGTTATGGATCCGACCTGATGGTTGGGGTCGGAGAGGTTGAAGGGCAGGGAGAGAAACAGGGAGATCAAAAGCACTGTCAAAGAGGAGAGTCTTGAGGTGGGTTTGAAGGTGGTGAGGGAGGGGGCGAGATGGAGTTCCAGAGGGTGGGTGCAGAGTAGCAGAAGGCCCGTCAGCCGATAGTGGGGCGAGCAAGGCGGGGGACGTAAAGCAGGCCGGAGGCACTGAGCGGAGGGATCGAGCAGGATGATAGGGGGTTAGGAGGTTGGAGAGGTGGGGGGAGCAAGACTATGGAGAGCTTTGAAGGTGAGGACCAGGATCTTGAACTGTATCCTCTGTGTGATGGGAAGCCAGTGGAGTCGGGTGAGGATGGGGGTGATAGAGCCTGGTGCGGGAGAGGACACGGACTGCAGAGTTCTGGATGATCTGCAGCCTGTGGAGGGAGGAGTTGGGGAGGACAACAAGCAGGGAGCTTGCAGTCAAGCCTCGATGTAATAAAGGCGTGTATGAGGGTCTCGGGGGCCTGCGGTGTGGGACAGTGGCACAGCCGGGCGACGTTGCAGAGGTGGGGAAGGCAGAGCGGGTCGTGGCACAGATGTGGGGTAGAAAGGATAGTTGAGGGTCCAAGGTTCCGGACTGGGTTAGTGAGGTGGAGTGTGCGGCCAGAGATGGTGATGCTGTCAGCGCCTGAGGTGAGGAGGTGCTGACGGGAGCCAATCAGGAACCTCGGTCTTGTTGATGTTCAACTGAAGAAAGTTCACTCTCATCCAGGACTTGATGTCTGACAGACAGTCTGTCAGGACAGCAATGGTCCTGGAGTCAAGGGTGGAGGCAGAGGTAGAGTTGGGTGTCATCCGCAGTGGTCCTGGAGTCAAGGGTGGAGGCAGAGTTAGAGTTGGGTATCATCCGCATACATGTGGAAATTGACCCCATGTCTGCGGATGATGTCAAGAGGAAACATATAGATATTGAAGAGGAGGGGACCAAGGACAGAGCCCTGAGGAACACCACACTAGACAGTCCGGAGGCTAGAGGAGAAACCATTTGTGGAGATGAGAGTTACGATCTGAACCAATCAAGGACAGAGCCGTGGAGATTGAGGTGAGAGGAGAGGCGATGGATGAGGATAGAGTGGTTGACAGTGTCGAATGTAGCAGAGAGCTCAAGGAGGATAAGGAGGTAGAGGGAGCCCTGGTCGCAGATGAACAGAATGTCATTTGTCACTTTGACCAGGGCTGTTTCTGTGCTGGGGGCGGCATGGAAAGTCGATTGGAGGGGTTCGAGAAGGGAGTGGGGGGAGAGGAAGGAGTGAAGCTGAGAAGCAAAAATTCTTTCCAGGACCTTGGAGAGGAAGGGGAGGTTGGGGATGGAGCGGTAGTTTGGGAGTAGAGAAGGATCCAGCGAAGGGTTTTTTAAGGATAGGAGTGATGACAGCAGTTTTTAAAGGGGTGGGAACCGCACTGTTAGAATTTACACTTTTTGTATAATGTTAGAATCATAATAGATGTTGCGAACGGGTTAACTTTTACGTTAAGTGTGGGTGGGGGCAACTGGACTGAAACTCATGAGTTTACACCCAAGATCACGTGAGTGTCTCAAGGACAAGATGTGTACTACTGCCCTGCACGTACACAAGATAACGGACTGTCTCAAGGACAGTGTGTTTGTGTGTGTGAGGCACGTACACTCCATGAGATGTTCACTTGAACCCAGCATGATTTTGGCCAGGTGACCTAATGTCCACACTATGATTGGATGGACACAAGCTTAAGACACGGTGCCAGACCAGGATCGGCGCCCGGGACAGTACCCACCGTGGGGGGAAGACTGAGAGCTGGAAGGCAGAAGTAGACAACCACAAGGAGGGATTACGCGGTAGTATTGTTCTGTTAGTGAATCGACTGATTGTGTTTACTTGCCCACGGCCATCGGGAACTTGGACGGATCCTGGAGTTTAATAAACACCATTCTGGTTGCAAACAGTGGCTGTGTTTGATTGGAACTCGAAAAAAGGTTTTTCCATCACAATTTGGCGTAGTCGGCAGGATCGTTCAGGAAAGTGGGACGGAGTAAGTACAATCAAGCCTTGACGAAGGTTTATGTTAAGTTTTTAGTTATTTACTTATAAATGTTTAGTTTTTAGTTATTCCCCTCTAAGTGTTAAGTCAGTCAAAACCGAGGGAAGGAAATCCCCTATTACCTCTGGGTAAGGAGAGGGACCGGGACCGACAGTAATTGAATGTTGATTTCAATTGCGACCATGGTCGCTGGAAATAACCTATTAGTTTTGACTGAGCTGTGAAATTCAAAAGAAAGCTCATTAAGAGAGTCGCAAGGTAAATTTCAACTGTTCGGACAGCCAGTGCAAGCCGAGGAAAACCCTCTATTACCTCGGGTAAGGAGAGGGACCAGGACCGATAGTAATTTTGGTATTCCAATTGGCACTATGGCCCCGGGAAATAATTCTGGTTGTGACTGGGCTGTGAACTTTGAAAGGAAGCTCATTAAAACGGTTCAGAAGTTGAAGCTGGGGGTGAACGATGAGAATATTCCGCAGCCAAGTGGCGCTACAGGGTATGAGCCTTTAGTAGGAGAAATCGAGGAGTTAGGCACTCAGCGGAGGTTGAGTGATAGCGAGAAGGAAGTTTTGTTGAAATACTGGGCTGTCGTGAGTTGCCAACACATAGAAGAAGAAAGATGCATATGGCAGGAGGAGNAAAAACGTTAACAGGAGAGATTAGAAGAGGAGCTAGGAAAAGTGAGAGAACAGGCTGCCTAGCAGGAGGCGGATTTTCATGCCCAGCAGGAGCATGAGAGGGAAAGATTTCAGAAGGATCTGGAAGAAGCGAGAGAGCAGGCAGCAAAGTACAAGGCGGACTTCTATGCTCAGCAAGAGCGCGGGGAGTTAGAGCGAAGGGACTTAGACCGTGCGAATAAAGACGTGACTGAGAGATATATGACCCTGCAGGGAATTTATAACCATCAAGGCGCTGTTTTAAATATAACGGCTGTTAAATCTTGAGAGGTCGAGGAGCTTAAGCAGGAACGGTTGCGAGATAAGGAAATGATTGCCAGTTTGAGAGAGGAAAATGATGATTTGAGGGGAGCCCTGCGCTGCCAAGAAATAGGTAGGCAGGAGCGAGCGGAGTTAGAAGAATTAAGGAAAGGAAAAGAGGGAGAGAAAGAAGGTAACGAATGGAGACGGGCGTTAGTAGCGGCGGTATGCAATATTAAGCCTGTGATAAATGGGGTTTGTCAGGATGCCGACGATAATAATGTTTGGAATTGGGGAGAGTTGGATGAAGAGGCAGTGCAGTACAATGAGGATGAAGGGTCAGGGCCACCCCTAGTAAAGGGTTGTGTTCGTCCGGTCAGCACCTCACGGTGTACCAATGAAAATGGGTGTGCTGGGGGCCGGGACAAAATTGTTACCTCCCTGAGGTAAACTCCAAACCCCTTGAAGATTTGACCTCATGTAAGCAGGGGACAAATGAAGGTCCCTTGGCTTTCCATCATAGACTGTGGCAGCTATATTCAGCTAATCAGCAGAACGCCATGAATCGGCAACAATGCGAGGGTTCTGCTAATTACAAAAATGTTAGTTGGGGAAATTGAATAAGAATACCTCTGCTGCTATGGGGTTAGGCATAGATCCCACCTCCATTTCGTAGATTCAGGCTCTACAGCCACCCTTCTTAATTTTGACAACCAACCCCTTCCTCCCCTCACAGGTGAATGTTTGGAATTTTCTGGTGTGTCTGGTAGCCCTATGTATGGTCAAGTGTTGCGTCCTTTGCCTGTACAATTGACTTGTAAAGCAACGATTGTTTTGCAACAGCCAATTGCTGTAAATTTAACCACTGAACCTGGTATCCTCGGGAGCGATGAACTAACCGAGTAACGCTCTGGTTGACTATACTAATCATTGTTTATGGTTAGATCAACATCCTGGTCATGGTCGGTTTCGTGAAATATTAGATCGGCATGCTGTGTGCGCTATTAAAAAGCCCACCCCATACCCTCCAGTTCAGTCAAGTCACCCCTGGATTGGTCCATTATTATCCCAGTTTCCAGGTCTCCGAGCCACTCACAAACACGACTGTGGGAGGCTGGCAGTAACTGAAGAGGTTAATGGTCCCACCCACCAGCCCTGTAAACTTTGCCTAAAGAGAGTTTACCTTATGTCCAGGCCACAGCTGAGAGTTTAAAGGAACAAGGTGTGATTCGTGAAGGGATATTTACTACTAACTCCCCTATATGACCCGTTAGGAAACCTGATGGTTGCTGGTGGTTAGCCATTGATTATCGGCGGCTTAATAAAATTACACCTGCTTGCGCCCCAGTTGTAAGTGACATGAGTCAGCTTCTGAAGGACATCCCGTTTACGGCTAAATGGTTCTCGACCCTGGATATTTCAAGCGGATTCTGGAGCATTCCTCTAAAACCAGAGGACCAGCATAAGTTTGCATTTACGTTCAATGGTCAACAGTACACTTCAAGTCCTACCTCAAGGCTTCCATAACTCTCCGACCATATTTCACAAACGTATGTTTCGGGCACTGCTTAATGTTGTTCCCCCTGATGGTACGTGTATTCTCCAGTATGTTGATGAGATTTTGCTAACTTCTGATACTCAGGAAACTCATCGGAATCTCCTAGAACGGGTGATGAAAGCGCTTCTTCAAGTTGGATTGAAACCTAACCCCATGAAGGTACGGTTGTGTGTTCCAGCTGTCTCTTTTCTAGGTGTACAACTGGATGCAGAGGGACTTCGACCCGATGCTCATTAAGTCGACATCATCCAGCGCCTCCCACTGCCTGTGACCAAGACTGCGTTCGTTCCTTCCTTGGACTGGTGGGGTACCAAAGGCAATTTCTCCCACCATTTGCTGAACTGGCCAAGCCGCTGGCGATATCCCTGATGATCTCCGCGAACACTGGACGGCGAACATACAGAAGCTGTGTCTCAACTTAAAGAAGCAGTGATGCAGGCTGCTGCCTTGGTGCACCCCAGCCTGAGCAGCCGGTTCACTTAGAGGTTGCCGGAGGTCCTATTGCATTAGCAGCCGTTTTGACTCAGCAGTTTGAAGGTTGGTACCTCCCGATTGCATACATATCTCGTAGCTCAGTGGTTAGAGCACTCACTTTGCAAGCGAGAGACCTGAGTTCAATTCCAGGCAGAGGGCGAAACCTTGGGCAAGTTTCCTTACTCCACACAGAGCCTAATAATAATCCCTCCAAAACAAAACAATAATAAATTGGTCATTTTCAATCTACGACTGTGGGACACTGTGGGACACGCGTAATTGGCTGCCACGTTCGCCCACAAATATACAATCAATTCACTTGACAGTATATTCTGTGAAGTGATTTGGGACGTCCTCCTGACGTGAAAAGTGCTATATCAAATGCAAGGATTATTATTATTATATCTCGCATTCTCACTGGTGTGGAGCAACAGTTTGATCCGTGTGAACGTCACCTTTTAGCCGTGTGTTGGGCAGTCACCTCCTTTCAATATATCACTGGACTCCAGAAGATTCTTCTTCACTCTCCGCACACCCCCGTTCGTCTCCTGCAACTACCGGGCATTACGCTTGTCTCCTCGTAAAGACTCACTAAATGGGCTCTCACTCTGGCTGCTGCTAATTTATCGGTTGTTACTGGTCCGACTACCCTCATTCCCCAGATGATGTTGTATGACGGTGACCCGCATACATGCCCTCTTCCATGCTTGAACTTCAGCGATACTGGGATCCTTAAGTCCCTGCTGGAGGCTTTCCCGATGCAGTCTGTCGCCAATGTGTACATTGATGGCTCCTCCTTCCATGTTGATGGCAAGGCATTCACTGGTTTTTCAGTTATCCTCCCTGTTTGTGACATTGGTTTCCGCTGCATACCACATTCTGCTCAATATGCTGAGTTGGTCGCACTCGTTGAAGCGGTCCGCCAGACTGCCAAAGTGGCTACCGACATATGGTATTTATGTTGTAAATACTGTTATTATTACGTTTGTACTCTTCCCGAAATTTTTGTACCTCTGCAGGAACGACGTTGGTTCACGCATCACTTCTGAGATGTCTGGCTGATGAGATATCCCGTTGCACCCATCCGATGTATGTTGGTAAGGTGGCTGGTCATCAAAAGACTGGACCACACTCGCACAGGAACAATCGTGCTGATGTCGTTGCTCTCCAGTCTGCTCTTGATGGAGAAGCATGGATTTTTTCCCCTCTTCCATCCCACTCAGTGATGAGTATCTCCACTTCGCCCTCTTTGACTGATTTGATTAAACTCCAGAATTCATATTCGCCTTACATCGAAGCCGTGCAGTGGCATCAGGAGCAACTTGCTGGACTTGATATCCATCCCAAGCCACAATATGATTGGCTGGTGCACACCCATTTGTATGTTCTTCTGGACTCTCTGGCCTCCCCTGTTCTCATGTATTCTAAGCGCGATATCTCCACTGTGTGTATTCCCCCAGATTGTGCTGATGCGATGTTTCAGTTATACCACTCACATCCTACTGGTGGTCACTTTGGTCCCTCAAAAACCATCACTAAGTTGTTCCCGAACGTTTCATGACGTTCGGGAACAATGTAAGATGTGCCTTGTGAGCCTGCAGCACAATCCCCCTCGATTTACTAATTGAGCATTATTGCAGAGTGCACCCTCTCCCTCGGGTCCTTGGACCAATATTCAGATTGATTTTATTGGGCCATTGTCCGCAGCTGCCGGTAGTTACAAATACTGTTCAGTTATTATTGATAAGTTTACAAAATGGATTGAAGCTTTCCCGGCTAAAAATAACACAGCGCTCACTGCTGCACACATTTTATTGCGTGAGGTGATCTGCAGGTGGGGAATCCCTGGTATATTGGATAGTGATCAGGGATCACATTTCACGGGCGAAGTTTTCACCAAATTGATGGAATTGCTGGAAATTGATCATAAATTGCATGTGTCATACCATCCTCAATCCTCAGGGGTAGTAGAAAGAAGTAACCGCACATTAAAGGTTTTGTTGTCAAAATTTTGTGCAGATCACGCAATGGATGAAGGGATTGCCACTGTGTCTAATGGCAATTCGCTCCACCCCACATGCTACTACTGGCATTTCACCCGATCAAGCGATGACATGTCGTTTAATGAGGCTACCAGGTTGTACAGTAGTGATGACTAAACAAGCCCTCGAACAATTAGAGGGTAATGTTAAATTTCAGGGAACTGTGGAGGAGACATGGCTGAAAGAGATGCTAAAGATCATACAGGAAACCAACAGCTTTGTGGCCACAAACACTGGTAAGGCGAAATAAAGTATGAAGCAACATTTTGACACTACCGTTAACCATGTGGAGTATGAAATTGGAGATGAAGTCATGGTCCGCGTGTATGGGAAAAAGGAATCTCCTTTTGCCCCACGATGGAAAGGGCCTTTTGAAATTTTGGAAGAGGCAAGCCGGGCAGTATATTTAATTGTCACGCCTTTGTCTTCTAAATTCACTAAATGGTAATCAACTTAAAATTGTAAAGAAGGGGAAAGGATAAACTGATGACTGAATATATACTATATTTGTATTTTGCAGGCGCCAACTGAGTGATTACCGGATCCTCTGTATCAATTTAGATCTGGATGGAATTACTGGAGGCCTGGTGCTTGGCGTTTTAATGCTACTAATCCAGAACTCCCAAGTTTACTCCCTCGATAACCCCTTTGATGGAAACCCCCCTAATACTTTCCTATTAACAGCTTTCGTGTTGGCCAAAGAAGCATGCGCCGTAATTGGGTCTGAGTGTTGTACGTATATTCCGGATAACTCCGAGAATATAAGTTGCTTGACTGATCATATCCGGCAAGAGATGGATAAATTGAAGCAGACCCCACCTTCATCTCTTTGGGCATGGACCGCTGCTTGGTTGGGTTCTATTGGCAGTTGACTGTTACATGGGCTAATTATTATTGTTGTGATCCTGCTTTGCGTTTATTCCGCTGTTACGGGTGTGAAGTTTATTTTTCTTAAAGTTATGTCTAGTGTGATTTCCTCTGAGGTACCCTTTGTAGGGAATGATGGAAAGGCTGGCAAAGTTACTGCCATCCACCCTGTTGCCTGGAAGTACCACTCTCCCTCCCAGGTTGTGTGATTTTTTAAATTACATTCCTTTATACCATTTATACTTTCTATCCTTTTATATTATGTGTCTTTTGTACTATCAGGTTGTGTAACCTTATATTATTTTCCTGATTTTATATTATATTCTTTTTGTAGTTTTGTGATACCTCATGTTCATTCGGTATCAAGGTGGGGACTGTTAGAATTTACACTTTTTATATAATGTTAGAATCATAATAGATGTTGCGAACGTTTTAACTTTTAAGTTAAGCGTGGGTGGGGGCAACTGGACTGAAACTCATGAGTTTCCCAGGATCACATGAGTGTCTCAAGGACAAGATGTGGACTACTGCCCTGCACGTACACAAGATAACGGACTGTCTCAAGGACAGTGTGTTTGTGTGTGTGAGGCACGTACACTCCATGAGATGTTCACTTGAACCCAGCATGATTTTGGCCAGGTGACCTAATGTCCACACTATGATTGGATGGACACAAGCTTAAGACACGGTGCCAGACCAGGATCGGCGCCCGGGACAGTACCCACCGTGGGGGGAAGACTGAGAGCTGGAAGGCAGAAGTAGACAACCACAAGGAGGGATTACGCGGTAGTATTGTTCTGTTAGTGAATCGACTGATTGTGTTTACTTGCCCACGGCCATCGGGAACTTGGACGGATCCTGGAGTTTAATAAACACCACTCTGGTTGCAAACAGTGGCTGTGTTTGATTGGAACTCGAAAAAAGGTTTTTCCTTAACAGCACCAGAGGACTGCGAGAGATTAACAAAGTCAGTGAGTAGAGGCGCAAGGAAGTGGAGCTGGGAGGTAAGGAGGGGGGTAGCAATGGGGCCAAGGGAGCAGATGGTGAGTTTCATACGGGTTATGGTGGTGATGAGAGTGAAGGGGGAGATGGGTTCAAAGGTGTGGAGGGAGGGAAGGGTAGGGGCTGGGATGGGAAGGGGAGATGAGGAGGGGTAGCAGTGGAAGAGGCAGGGCAGCTGAGCGGATTCCCTAGACTTTGGATTCGAGGAAATCCAGCATCGCCTCATTCGTGATGGAGAAGAGGAGCCTGGATTGTCCTTAGCTTCCAAGATTGTCTTGGAATAGAAAGACGATTTAGCGGAGGCGATGTCGGAGTGATAGGATTTGATATGGTCCAGCCAGATCTGCTGATGGGCAGTTAGGTTTGATTTAAACCAGGTGCGTTCAGCGGAACGTGCCTGGGCTTTAAGGGAGCGGAGGTGACTGGTGTAACAAGGTGAATTACGCGAGTATGAGACGGTTATGGAAGAGAGTGGAGGAGAGGGAGCTTTGGAGAAGGGTGGCTAAGGTCATATACAGCCAACTCACTTTACTCTGTGAAGCGCTTTGAGGCGTTTCGAAGATGTGATTTGACGCTTTATCAAATGTAAGTATTATTATTATTAATGTTTAGCATATGACAACATGGTAACTGGTAATAGTCGAGATGCCAGTTAAATGAGTTTCATACTTTAGCCTTGTGTTATTTTGTTACAGATAAGTGGATCCAAATTGAATTGTGTGGGCATTTTTTTGTTTTATCTTAGTTACAATTTTACTTGCACTCAGATTTGGCCAAAACTCTGCCTTTTCTCCAGTGATAATTATTGCCATGTTTCTTTTAAATTAGAAACTGAAATATTTTGCAAAAACTATTGCTTAATCATCATTTATTCACCAAGTCAGCATTTCTGTTTTTCCATAGCTTGGGATATTCCTTTACCTCCTTCTTTATAATAATAATCCTTGTATTTGATGTAGTGCCTTATCACATTGTTGAGACGTCTCCAAATGCTTCACAGAATATATTGTAAAGTGGATTGAATGTATATTTTGTGGGCAAAAAACTGTAGCCAATTACTCACAGCAGTGTCCCACAAACAGACATGGATTAAGTGACCATTTAAAAAAAACTTCACAGTTCTGTTATTTCAGAATTTCAGCCCATGTGTTCTCTTTTCTCTAAGTTGTCAAACAACAGGTAAAAATTCCTTAAAAAAAATAATAGTTTGGTCACTTAATCAATGACTGTTGGTGGGACGCTGCTATATAATTGGCTGCGGCTGCTGTTTGTCCTCGAAAATATACAGTCGATTCACTTTACAGTGTATTGTGTGAAGCGCTTTGAGTTGTCTTGAAGGCGTGATAAGGCACTATATCAAATGCAAGGATTATTATTATTACTATTACTGCATCAGATTTGTTTTAGTGGGACAGAAAAGTGTATTAAGTAAAATTATTTCGATATGGATGGAGAGGATGCAATTGAAGCAATCCCAAGGCAGTTTTTCCTTAATTTTGACTGTATTCATGTAATTTTAAGAGAAATGTCAAAAATCCATAAAATGTTTGGAATTTGCAATTTTAGTAGTTGTGTGGAGCTATATATATGTGTGTGTGTGTGTGGATACAAAAAAATTGAGGCCTTTAGCATTTTTTTATACAAGAAAAAAACAGATTCTGTCTGGTTGTAAGAATTTTAATAAAATAATTTGTAGTAGCTTGCAACTGGTTGTGTCAGCACTATTTTGTTTCAAGGGCCCAAGGGAGCTGACAGCTCATTTATTGTTGGTATAATAAATAAGCAAGTAGTCCCTCCGAACTAAAATGGCACCTTAAAATTCTGTTGTGAATCTTCAGGAGAGAAATGTTTCCATTGCAGACACTAATGTTTATTGTTTTAGCCCAACCATTGTCAGAGAAGAGAGAGAGTCTTTACCGACCACTGCTGCAGAAAATGCACATTGTGTATTACCTTTTTTAAAAAAAGCTTAGGATTGTTTTATAGAATTTTAAAATATCTTCTCAATCTGGTTTTAATTAATGAGCAATTTACCCATGCACGGCTTTGCTACTGGTGGTTTTACCACAACCCATTTGTAGCATTAAGCTTTATATTTACATTTACAGGCTTTTTTATTTTAAAAACAAGGTAATTGCTGGATATGTTGCTGGATGTCCAACCCAGGCTACCATGCTGGTCCCTCGTATTTCAGGGGAGCTGCTCCTGTGTGTCCCACCTTGCTGTAGCCTGATCCTGTTGCCAAGGCAGAGCAGCATTTTACAGTGACAGATTGTGTATCTTTCTCTCTCTTAGTGATCTTGGAATGGGGGAGGGTTGCAAGGAAAGATTGCGAAGGTAAGCGGGTTTGGTGATATTTATGGTGCATCACTCTAATTGTATTAAACTTAAGATTTTGTTTGAAAAATCTCTGAGGGGCATTTATTTTTGTTAAGTTCTGCTCTAAATTTGCTTCGTAAGATTAGGTTGGAAACCTTTTAATGCAAGAATGTATTTTTTTGTGTTTATGGATTTGATCAAAATGGAGCAAGATTAGATTACTTCAATCTGCTTGCAGCACAATGACATTTCTTGCATTATAGATGCTTCAGATTGAAAATATGGGTGATGTTGAATGGAGGAGGCTGAAACGGTTTGAGTTTTTTTTGTTTGTGATATGATGAAAGCAATCTGTTCTGCACTGGTTTGGACTCGTTGAGCATTTTTGAAAATGCTCTATTGTGTTGCATGTGGAAAAGAGGTTGAATACTTACTTCATGCTTTTCTGCCTTTGTTTTAATGTGGTTGAAAAGATGTCTCTTGCCCACAGCACATGGCAGACTGATAGAGATCTCAGAGGATTTCAGCTAGCCACTGTCTGACAAGCTGGAGACGTGTATTATTTATAAACCAAATGGGATGAGCCTGGCTCTGTGCAGCTGTGGTCCTTTTCCTTTTCATTTCCTTTAATCTGCAAAAAAAAAATTAATTGACCGGAAAGCGATTTATAGCAGCAATTGACATAAGTGTGAAATGGATTGTTAACTTCGTGACACTTTGTTGTAACAACTCTGTTTAGGTACCATTCTGAACATTATCCACACCAAGACACACACGTGACCGATAGTTTTTAATACTATGTTCACTTTAAAGCCCTTATCTTTGTCACACAGAGATTTTTGATGTGCACCTTTTCCACTGCATTAACGGTTTTATCATTCAAAGCAATCTTTGTTCTGCCACTAGTAATAAATATTGTTGTTTGAGATCATTTTTCAGGAACCCAAGAACTTTACAAATATTTTCTCTAAAGTGACTATATGGGATTGGTGAGGGAGGCAGTTTTCCATGTACTGACCAGCAGACAGACTCCTGCTCCCCACAGAATATTTTTCTACTTTTTTTTAACAGACATGTTTTGGTGGCACTTGGCCCTATGAACCATTTTTTGGGATGACGGGATGGACAATTTTTCCAGACTTAAAACCATTCCTGCAATTTAATGCAGATTTACTGTCAGAATTTTTTCTCGCTGTTTGAAAACTAACAACAACTTGCATTTACATAGCGCCCTTCACGCACGCAGGGTAGTGTTTAGCCATCAATGTACCATTTTTGTAAAAAAAGTATAATTTTTTAAGTGTTTT